TGCAATTGTGAGGGATACCTACCCTACCTTCTAGCCACCTGTTGCAAATCCACTCCGAGTTTGTGTCAGATGGCGATGGCGAATGGTGCGCTGTCTGGTTCCAAGTGCTACGGAGTAGCTATCAGAGGTAGGCTAAATCAACGACGACACAAATGCGGCGCCTACGCTGGCCAACTGAGCAGTTCCGCTAGGACACCCGGCGTCAATGATTGCGCAACGCTAGATCTGGGGAGACCATCTGCTAGGATGTGATCCCTCGGCAGACGTGCTGATCTATGGAAGTGTACCTAGGTGGCCGGGGTAAGAAACACACTCCTGCTGGATCGAAATTTTAGTCCACAGTCTCCATACGCACCGAAATCTCGGCTGGTGGAGACAATTTGAAGATCACTCCCACTCACTCAACCTCATGTGTTTCGACTCGGGAGCATCACACGTGGGAAATACCTAATAGAACGCTCTCTGATGGTCGTCACCAGCCATTCCATCGAAGCTGATGGCGGACGATGAGAGGGATCGTCAAGCGAGGATGAATGGACGCCAGCCTTGGGCGCCTCACCCAGAGCGATGGCGCATGTGGTGAAAAGCGTCGCGTACCGCGCCGAGATGACCCTAGCTTCGTGCCGCAGTGAGACATCGATGCACTCGTCGGCGTCTTGGGAAAGGGTGTATGGGTCGGGACTCGAATACTGCGACGTACTGGGAGTCTACCTCCTGTGCTAAAGCCTTTGCGTTCTGGGTCGTGCTGATCCTCTTATCTACCTCGGCGTGCACGTATGAACAAGACGCGTTTGGTTACCGGTGTGAAAAAAAAAAAGATGTGGATTTAGCGGATAATGTAACGATGCTTTGTTGATGGTTCGTTTGCCAGATTTGAAAGTCAAAGGTGGAGCAGGGGAAGAAGTTCGTCGAGGGCGCGGAATTAGCGAAGCGGAGAGTGCCGTGACCTACAGACTATTGGATTTGATGAAATCCCCATGATCCTCGCCGTTGAAGCAAACCATTCCAAGGATGAAAAAGGACGGATCAAAACCTAAATCGTAGCGCCGAAAGCCCACATGACGGGTTGAAACGCTGGGAAGCGTGCATCGAGCACCACCTGCGCAGGAGCAGAGTGCGCTTAAATGCAGAAAAGCTCAAGTCGGGCCAATGCAGACCAGGCTCGACTTGCAGACAACTGACATTAGTAAAGTAGTACCCAGAAGATCCAGGGTGATGTACATTTATAAACATCTGGCTTTTTTCAAGGCGAATAGTTGGTCTGTCACTTGTAGGACTTTGCAAAAAACATTTGATGCAAGTACTTGACTTGAGATGGGGCATGAAGAATGTACCTCCTTGGGGGTTGGTTTCGAGCCCGGCCTCGAGTGGCCAGGCCGACCTCGCCAGGCAGGGGCTGCTTTTGGCATTGTACAGATGATGAGGTGCTCCTTCCATGGACATGTCCAACCCTTATTGCGATGTCAGCAAGGCAATGGAGGTAGGTACATCACTCACTGTTCAGCCTGTCGATACTTCCAGGTTGTCTACCTCGCCTCTTGGGCTCTGTGTGACCTTCTCGACGTGCCCTGCCATTGACTCCTACCCTGCCCGCTAAAGTGCCCAAGAGGGCCCGCGTCGCGACGACGACCTTGAATGCAAGTGGCAAAACCTCCTCGAAAGGCTTTTCTGCCCGCGCGGCCTCGTCAGAACCTTGAGCACCGAGAGTTGCTCCGTCGCGACTAAAAGGGGTTTCGTGTTCTTCCCATCTCGTCCACTTGACTGGCTTGCCAAGTAGAACGAACGGCGACTTCTTTCGACCTTCGACTGTCGACCCTTGAATCGTTTCTATTACCATCAAGCTCCCAGAGGCGTAGTAGGCCAGAGCTTGGTCGACAACAGCTTCACAACGCCCAGATGAAACAACCACAGCCTCCTTATCTCTACGACATCGTCTAAACTACCTACCCTTGGCTCCCCAGTCGAGCCCCCCGTCGATGCATCGTCTCTGCCTGTACTCTTAGCTCGCTGGAGCATGGTCAGTGGTGTCCCAGCTAACAACTACCCGCACTGGCTAGTGCTGGGTCGTTGGCGGACTTTATTGCCATAGCTCGGATCAATTTAGGTCGTTCATCGGGCAATCCATCTCTCAGTACGGAGCTACCATCCACCAACGTGACGCCATCGCTGGGCCTCTGGTCTCTCTGGTCACTATCTGGTGCGCGGTGCAGCACTGTCCTTTCTCGCCTGTTCTTTCTCCAAAGGACCAGGCCAAACCAGTTCTTTGCTAGTGTCACACCCACCCTGGCTCGCTTTTCCCACGCCTAGGTATCCTGGTCTCCTCATGCCTGGCCCTCATCCGTTCGCTGCTGCTGACCCGCACAATCGCCACACATCCGAGGAGAAGAGAGGCCCCACAGTGCAAGCTCCAATCTCCCCTATCCTTGTACGGACCGCGGCCTTTCTTGGCTTTGTCCAGCCTCTTTCGAGTCCACACCCCCCTTCCCTCCTCGGCTCCCTAGTCGTCATCCTTTGGCTTTTGCCTTCTCCATCTTCCTGTGGTGGCCCGCTGTACGCCGCCCGCTGGTTCGTTCCCCGAGTTCTGGTCCGTGTGTCGCCGCGCGACCCTCTTTGTGTTCAGAGCTAATGGCGCCCGCTAACGTTTAGTGGTAGATGCGCTAATCTCTTGCGTGCTGGTGCATTATTGTGTTGCTTTCCGACGCTGGCTGCATTGCGTTGTGTGCGAAATCGCCCAGGCGGAGCAATCACCAACCGATCGCTGGCTTGCAAGGAGGTGTAGGTACCTACTCTGCGCAGCTGGCGAGTGTTTACACGCGCACCGTCGGGAGCTGGAGTCCTCTCGGAGTACCTCGACGCATACTGGCTGCTTAGTACCTAGTCGAAACAGTCAGACAAGGGCGACGATCGCTTCACTCTGGGCAGTGCTACGGAGTAGACACCGCGCGCTCTCCAACGCGGGGTAGGTAGCCCTCGAGTCTAAAGCCGATATCTTGCACTCATCGATACACTAGATCGAGCCGCCTGTCAAGCCAACCCGCAGCCGGCTACTTACTCCGTACACAGAGCATTTCATAACATCATCTGCCTCTTGTTCCAGAGCCGCTGCAAATCGTCGCCGTCCTCTCCAGCCGCTCCACTCTTGCGCGTCCGCCATACCCACATATGCCTGGTGGTATTCTTGGATCTAGGTTACCATTTTGCAGAACCTGTACGCAGCTGTGTCAGACAATACGGCTCTCTGGACACGACCTTCCTGTTCGGCAATCGCAGTCGCCAGTGCTAGGTACCCGCAGGAAAGGGCCGCGCGATATCTGTATGACATCGCGGAGTCTTTTCGAACAGCGTGGCCAAGCCGCCCGTTTCGAGGTGTCAACAAGAAGGGAGACGCAGCAAGAGATACCTAGGACTCGCACCCAGCTGGCTTTGGGTCGGTACAGTCCCCCAAGGCCTCAAACTGAGGACTTTGGACACGGCGCAAACAAACACGAGGGGAGCCACAGCTCCGCTCCAGCCGTATCTACTTAGTCTCTCGAGTCGAGCCAGAAGGGGCCTAAGACGAAACGAGCAGGGCCACCAGCAACCGATCAAATTACATACGAAATACTTGCCTGCTTCCATTGGCCTGTTTGCGCCTCTCGGCATCAGCAGCAGTGCTATCAGCCTCTAGACCCACGCCCCGGCGCGGTCTCAAACAGACGCCTGTCTCCTCTTTCTCTGCTGACTGCACTGCGCATTCAAACAAAAGAAAGAGGGCCCGGCCTTGCTCTTGTTAGCCAACCATCATCATCCTTCATCATCATCTCATTCTCCTCACCTGCGGCTTCCGTCATCTACACTCCTTCCTTTCCATTTGCAAGCAATCGCCGGTTGAGACTGCTCAATAACCGACGTCGGCCCTCTCAATCTTGCGCTCTCGGGATACATTGCGCCAACCCCTTCGGTCCGCGCGTGTGTTCGCCGTCGACCCTCGTCTCAGACCAGATCGCATCAACTTACGGAGCACTAGTCGCTACAAGTTCATACTAAGCCAACCAGATCAACACACTCTTGGCCCATACTACATCACCATTTACCACCCACCACAACACACCCCCTCCATTCCTCTTTGACTAACCGATCCCGCCGCGCGCAGCAGCCAGCACCTTCAAGTCAAATCCCAGCTCCTCATTCACTCAAGAGGCAACCTTCTAAACCCTTCCTCTCTTATCCTGTGGATGCTTGCTGCGATTCGACATCCTGCCACCCCCGGAAACGGCCTTTAGAGATTTGCGCCAACCATATGCATGATTGAATCTTGCGTGCATCATACCAGTTGCGCACACACTCCATCATTTCCCGACTCGCACTTTTGCCCTGCGCATCCCACCTCCACTTCCACCTCCACTTCCACCACTGCCAACCCAACTACATTCAGACACGTCGTTTCGCAGAACCGTCGACGTGGTCGACGTCGCCGCACTGATGTATTCTGCGCAGCCTAACGGCGCTGACAGTGCGACCATCAATCCCGCCGCCCTGGCTTCAGCCGGTATGTGTTCTTTTTAATCCCATGGTTCCCCAGGATCGGCTCGTTAGTCGCGTGTTGGCCGCGTCCGTTTCCTGCGATCCTATCCGCTCCTTTCCTTGCTCGGCGCCGTTTTTGATTGCGCCAGAGGGGGAGACCGCTTCCCATCCTTGCGCTGTCGCATGCCGGCGCGCGCGCGCTTTTCTTCTTTTCAGGCGGGCTTGCTGATGCTTTCTTTTGTTGTTCAGACCTAGCCGGCCACGCCTCGCGAGGCATCAAACGAAGTCGATCTCCTGATTACCAAGACACAATCCAGCCCGGGCCAGCTGGAGATGACGGTATGTCGTGAATCCTCTTGTGTAGCGATGCCCTCGAACCTTATATGCTTGTGTTCACGTTACATTCGTGAACCTGTGCGACAATGCAAAGACGACATCCCTGCTAACGAGCCCGCTGCCCAACTCTAGATAAACAACCGAGAAAACGCGGAAGACCGATGAAGTCGCGACCGTCCGGGGGCTTGAGCGAGAGTCCGTCCCAACCGCCCCCTCCGACTCTCCCGCAGACGGCCATACCGCCGCCGCAAACTCCGCATTCGCAAAATGCGCCTCTCCCCAGCCAAATCCCGCAGTACACTCCGTCCCAGGCGTCGCCGCCAGCGCCCAAACCCACGCCGACCAAGTCGACGCTCAAGGCTCTCCCCACGGTTCGCGACCACACAACCGACCAGCTAGGCCCAGGCGGCGACGAGTATCTGCCACGAGAAATCGATGAAGCCGGCGAGAAGAAGGTCATGCCCAATGGGCAACTTCTGGGTGGCCGCGAGTACCGGTGTCGTACCTTTCTGGTACCCCAGCGCGGCGACAAATTGTTCATGCTGGCTACAGAGTGCGCCCGTGTGCTCGGCTATCGGGACTCGTACCTGCTATTCAACAAGAACAGGTCGCTATTCAAGATCATTGCGAACCAAGTGGAGAAGGATGATCTGGTGCAGCAAGAAATCCTGCCCTTCTCGTACCGGTCGCGGCAGATTGCGATCGTCACGGCCCGGAGCATGTTCCGTCAATTCGGAAGCCGCGTCATTGTGAACGGCCGACGTGTTCGAGACGACTATTGGGAGACCAAAGCCCGGAAACAAGGCTTCACTGAAGCCGACCTGGCTGGTGAGAAGAGACCCGGTGCTTCAAAGGCTCGAGAGGCCGCGGCCGAGGCCAGCCAGGCTGCCTCACTCCTCGGAGCGCCGCATGGAGAGATTGTGTACAGCAACACCCCTGCCCAGTTTGGAGCTCCTCCGCCCCCCCAACTCGTTCAACCAGGTATGATTGGAGCGCCGTCCGGAACCTCGACGAGAATGCCCGTGATAACACTAGGACCAGAATATAATGACACCAGGAGTCGCGACTATTCGAGCATTCTCAAGACCGGCCCGCGTCAGGAGATTACAGGCCCTGCGTACCAGGACAGGACGCAGACCACACCGGTCGGCGAACTCCATGCCCAGGCGCATCATGCCGCCGAGTTCAACCGCTCCGTCAACCAGCAACGGGAAATGAGGAACGACTACATGCAGAATCTGTGGCGCCGCCCGCACGAACAGCCGGCTCCGACAAACCTCACTCAGCAGGTGACGACGACGGAGTCTTCGACGGCGACAAGCCGGCCAGCGCCTTCGCCCCACACCACGAGCAGCTCGATGCAGCAGCCGAGCATGGTCCCCAGCCACAGCCCACAGATGATGATGACCCAGCCGCCATATTCCCAGTCCGTAGCCGCCCAGAGCCAGATGCCGTCGACGATTAGAGGTATGAGTTACAACCCATCTACGAAGCTTCCTCAACCAACATCCCTAGCACCAGGATCCTCGGGCGGCATGACTCAGCCTCAAGGCTACAACTACCCGCAGTCGAACCCGATGTGGGCACAAACACAACAGGCACCGCAATACAGCTACACCCATCCCTCTCAGGCACAGGCGTCCCCTCATCAGCAGCCCCCCTCCACCTCTCAGATGCGCCATTCCGGACAACCGGCTGGTCTTCCCTACTCCGGAATGCCAGGAATGAGTCAGGCCTATCCCAACCAACAACAAGGCATGTCTTATGATCAAACTCCAAGACAATACATGCACCAGGGTGGGGGGCCCGCTGTGTCGCAGGGATGGTCAAGCCAGCAAACTCCGACGCAGTGGTGGCCCAACCAGCAGCAGTGATCGAGACTCCTGCGCCAAGAGCGATATAGGAGTCAGAGCTTGCGGCAACATCTGAGGTGGCCTATGGTACCTCGCGTATCGGGTTGCGGACTTCCTATTTCACTCGGAATGCCCGCAGGTTGGCCGGCGACCAGGAAGCAAGTCCCGGACCGAGCGATTTAATCTGACAGCCGGCTGCTGCAGGGGTTCCCCGCGACCGTTGCGGTGGGGGTGTAGTTCTGGTAGCAACGCAGTTGGTGTGTTCCGTTATCGGAAAATGGCGAAAGGCAATTTTGTTTCCAGTCCGGTCGACTGGCGATAGCTACCAGGATCGCCCGTACATGTCAGTCCATGGTTCGGTGGAAGGGCGCAGGCAACCTCGTGGTCTCTGTGGTGGCATTCCGTGACGGGTCTCTACAACAGATCCGCCACTCGCGTGTTCGATTTGTCATCTGGGATGGTCTATTTTGTTTGTTGATAAGGGGGCAGGCAGATCGCTTCGGGCCGTGGCGGAAGTCCAACCACTCCTGCCATGGGCCGTCTGTTGTTTTGGTTGATTTTTCGCTGCATTGTACCCCAAGCCCTTTGGTCCTCGACCGCTCTTTGATGTAGCCTCTTCGGCATTGGGATGGGAAAGTCTTTGAATTTTTTTGGCAGGAGGGGGTTTGGCATATGGAAGGCTTCGCAAAGGAGTTTTTGCTTTTACTATGTATGCTTCCGGTTGTTGCGTACAGATCGATATCCGTGTGTTGGTCAACGTGGATTTCCCTACCTGGACATATGGGGGCTGCTCGTTTCTTGCTTTTCCTTGTTCTTCGCTGGATTATACGCTTTTTTCCTGTTTTATTGGGGATTCTTTCCCCCCCATTGGGCTCTTCATGAGTTTCGGGTGGTGATTGTCTCTTTACGCTTCAGCATCACAAAGTTGGCAGCATTAGAGGCGTTCATCATCTACCTTTCGGGGGGCGGTTCTTTTTTTCCCCTTCGTTTCTTTGTATTTGAACTTGACCTTCTCGCCTACTACTAGGGTAGTCAGTCCCCCTCATTGAATGAGGGGCTTTTAACTTTCTCACCTTCTCGTACGCCCAGAAGCTTGTCACGAGAATCAACTCGGTTTGGCCTCGTCGTTTTGAGAGGGTTTTCGTGGTCGGTTTTTCCCCAACTCGGAACGGGATTGTTTGTTTCTTGTTTCACTCTCTCTCTCTTTGTCTTTTTTTCTTATCATCCTGCGATGCCGCATGGATATGGATACCGCGGGCTCAAAGGGATAAGGGTTGGTTTGAAACATGTATACGGGGAGGGCCATGGGTTTTGTTCCTTTTTTTTTGTGTTGTTCCGTTGTACCTAAGTGTTCTCTTATCAAGTGGTGCGGGCGAGTCGCGCACAGCGAAACGATTGGTAATGTTGAAGGAAGCTCCTGTGTACTTGATGCTCGGCAACTGCGTGCATGTCCCGCCACCTGAACTTGCCGCTGGCTCGCCCAGCCCCGCCCTGTGCTGGATGATATCACGCCCTGGTTACGACAGGAGTCCGACATAGTTTCCTAGATGACACGGGAAGGGTGGAAATGCAGTGACTGAAAGAGACTCATGTCTATCTATCATCAAACGCTCCTTTGTGTGGCCCCGTCCCTTCTGCAGGACGCCCTACTCAAGAACCCCCCCCCCCCCTCCAAAACAATGCTTTGGCTGGCATATTCTGCCTCTTTTGGATGTAGGAGGGAGGATAGTGACCCCTGAACACTGGGCCCCGATTCAACCCACCCCGCCACCAGATACGCCTTTTCCATTGTGCCTAGCCCGTGTCACTACTCCTGTGGACATACCAGCCCAGTCACTTGAGCCCCTCTCAGTTCCCTGCGCGCTTTGACGGGGAGGCGCCCAGCACGGTGAACCAATACTCGTTCTAGTCGCTCTCGTTCCCATCCAGCGCCTCGTCGTCATCGGGTCCCTGTTCCCTCTCCTCCAGCGCGTCCCTGTCCTCGTCCTCCTCTCCCCGCCGGCGGCCACCCTCGTCGTCGTTGTCGTCATCTTCTTCCTCCTCCTCCTCGACGTCGTCGTCGTCCTCTTCGTCCTCGTCGACGTGCTCCTCCTCGGGCTCCGTCTCGGCGTCGCTGTGCTCCTCCTCGTCGTCATTGGCACCGGCGCCGCCGCCCTCGGTGCGCGCCTTCTTGGGCGCCCTCTGCTGCTGCTGCTGCTGCTGCCGGTGCTCGTGCCCGGTGGCGGAGGCGGAGGACAGCACGCTGGTCTCGCCGTGCGTCGAGACGTCGGCCTGCACGCCCGTCGCGTCGGCGCTGAGGGCCGAGGCGTCGGCGAGGGTGGTGTCGCCGTCGCCGTCGGCGTCCGGGCCGCTGCGCTTGGCGGCGGCGACCTTTTTGCGGTAGGTGGACCGCTTGGAGGTCTGGATCTGGTTGAATTCTGTAGTTTTTGGGGGTTTCGTGAGTCAAATGTTGTTATAGATCGAAAATGAGAGTTTTGTAATACATGAGGAGGGGTTTTGATTTTGATTGTGTGTGTGTGTGTGTGTGTGAAAAACGTACTTGCGAACTCGGCCTCGAGCTGGGGCCGCATGAAGCCGAACTCGATGTCGTCGAGGGCGCTGAAGACGTCCTGCGGCATGATGGTCTTCTTGTTGGATGCTAGGGTGATGTCGTTTGCGCTGAGCGCTCCCCTCCATACAAGGGGAGCTCTTGGTCAGTATACACTTGTAATCTAGAACAAGTTGCGTTAAATGGGAGAGAGAGTCTTTGCGTACGCTGATGCCAGGTGGTTGACAAACACGCTGGCGCTCTTGGTCATGGCCAGTATCGCATTGGCCTGTATCTGCGTGTTGGGCGGCAGCACGCCCTTGGCCAGGCGTGTGATGATCGACTTGGGTAGGTTGAGGTCCTGCATTTTGTCCCAAACCGGACTGTCAGCTACTACTTATTACACACAATGCCCCCCCCCCCCCCCCCCCCCCCCCCAGTCGCCCTGTTTAAGGCTCTTGAGACGGGGTTGGCAGAACATTCTGTAAACGTACCTCGATGGTCAGGTTGTCCTTACTCTCCTCCTTCTTCTTGTTGCCCTCCTTCCCCGCACCACCACCGCTGCCGCCCTCTGTCGGTGCCGCCGACACGAAGGACGCGTCTGCTCCTCCACCGCCGCCTGTGCTCGGGCCCCCGGCTGCGTGCTGGGACGGGCTGGAGGGCGCCGCGGCGGAGGGCAGCGGCTCGGAGGTGGCGAGGGGCTTGTCGGCCGCGTGCGCCTCGCTCTCCGGGGCGAGGACGAAGCGCGCGGCCGAGACGTCGCTCTTGCGCGAGGCGGCCTGGTCGCTTTTCCGGGGGGGCATCGCGGTTTGTTGGGGTTTTGAGGATAGATGTGTGGGGGAGATCTACCGTGGCTCTCACGGGAGGAGAGAGAGAGAGAGAGAGAGAGAGAGACTGGAAATTGGAGAGGTCTCGCGGACTCGGTGAGGCGGCGAGATGGAAAGGGTTAGGTAGGCCAGCCAGGACGGCTGAGCGTGTTGTGCGCAAGTATTTCTCCTAGCAGGCTTGCGTGTGCTCGTCCCTGATTGATGCAGCTCTCCGGGCACAGGGGTCCTGAAAAGGCGTGGTAGTCGTGAGGCTCTGCAATGGATTGACAGGTTTTGACGTATGTCAACGAGCCCGAGGTGTGTGTGGTGGTGGTCGTGGTGGTGGTCGTGGTGGTGGTCGTGGTGGTGGCAGTGTGGGGAAAGAATTTCTGGAGGCGCGTCGCGACTTCGGACAAAGCTTGGGGCACGCGTTAAGTGGCTGACTTGACTAATTCAACTTTACCATGTGTAAGTGCAGCCAACAGTATGTCAAGTATCCTCACAAAATACTTCATTCCCCAGCCAACAGTTCAACCTTGTGCTTGTTCACATTCAGAATTCTGTGGGCCGAGATTTCCCTCTCGAAGTCTATTTCCCTGTACCGCCCAGTACTTGCCCAATCGTCAAGGCGAAAGGGCGGCACGAATTGATGCCGAGACTACCAGAGAAAGGCAAGTATCGTGTGCCTCCAGCTTTCGATTATTCAGTGACAAGACTCAACCACGGATCTCAGACGGGCCGCCCGGCCTCAGCTCTGCCTTCTCGTCGTTGCACGACAATATAGTCAGAAACAGAGATGAAGTGATATCCAACGCTGGCAAAGATCACTCCCCTGCAGACTCAAATTGGCCGGATGTCCATTCGTTGTCCCCGGGCCACCTGTGCAATCGCCAACATGAGGGGATTGGGTAGAATTTGCTCTTGCCACTTAGCCTCCTGGGCCAGGACTGAAGCTAATGATGGTGTATGCAAACTAAGCTTCTTATTTCATGTGAGGTTTGAGATACACAACAACTGGAAGGTTGTCTTCGGCTCCCGTCCATATCGTCATGCATGTACCTATCGGAAGAGTTGTCTATCCAGGTGAGTGCATCCAGATGCATTGTCGTAGCCGACCGTGAGAATGTATTAGAACCAGGCACCCCTCCCCACCGAAGGCCAACCTCCCACAGCTTGCACCTCCGACAAAGCATCTCGGTGGTGCCTCCTCCTCATGCAGAACATTAAAAAGCGAATGACCCAACAAAGTAAATTGACAAGCGAGGCTTCAGCCGTGCTGAAGAGAACCAGAAATCTTTGGGAACGCCCCCCTCCCAAACCATCAAAGTGGATTCATGCAAAGCCGATCAGCGTTGCAACCGGGAGTTCGATGAAACGATCACTGGCCACTGGCCAGGGCTCGCCCCCAGCCCTGCGCTGCTCCCCGTACGCGCGCGGTACCTACTTGCTTGTACATGTCTAGGTACTCTTGTCGGGAACCCTGCTTGTAGTTACATATTCATGACAAAGAGGTCCGTCCGGGTGCCCGTTTCAGACACTTGAGATTGGCAACCCGTCCCCTCGATGCCAGCGGACGGAGGCGAGGCTGCAGGCGATCTCTCTCTTTTCAGGGTACGCTCTGTCCTCCACTAGATTGTGCCAACCTGCCCCAAAAGCCTGATGCAATCTCCTTTTTGGTAAAGGTTGCTTCCCTTCCCTGGCCAACAGAGACACACGCCCGTGACAAGAGAGGGCCTTGGGGGAGATGACATATGCATTGTGTGTATATAGCACCCACGTATTATGCCTGTGCCACATGTGCAAAAGGCACCTGCATAATGGGATCCGGGGGGGGGGGTTATGAATCTCTTTTCTTGCGTGGGTTTCATGTTTCTGTTTGATTTGGGGAGGCGGTTATATCTTGTGTGTGTACGTGATAGCTAACTTGCAAGTGATACATGAAAATGGGTTGCCGTGATGTTGTTGTCAGCCCGGAATGCGCACTTGCATCCCTCTCATATGGAGTGTTCCTCCAAGATCTCCCGGCCCGGGCCCTTATATAATATAGGGGTAAATCCCGGATTTCCCTGACATAGAGTTATCTCCATCGTCCACCGCGCATCCAAAGTGCCAAGGGGTGAACGAAGACACAAAAAATGAAGCTAGAGCTGCTTCTCTCGCTGGCCAAAGCAGCAGAGAGAGAGATTCTCGATAGCTCCCGGGGACATAGTAAAAGAACAATAAATAAAAGACCTCTCCATGTCTTGGGGTATATCCTCCTCTAATCCTCCCTGCTTTCAAGTGTAATAAAAAGAAGAAGAAATTGGGGGGGAGTAAAGGTATTGATCGCGTGTCGTGTTTCTCATACATGAAAAAAGTCAAGGCCGTAGTAGGTAGAGTAGAGTGGGAGGAGAGCGGGACTCATAGCCCGCTCAGAAACCCGTGCAAGTTGGAGACAAATTGCAGTCCGGAAGGGAAAACGAAGCTTTCATCCCCAAACACTGTGTCGAGTAGATGAAGTGAAGATAGGGCCTGTGCGCAGGCGTCATTGAAAGACGCTTGATAGGTCCCCTGTAAATGTTTGCCCCCAGGCCGATCTTGTATGGCCGGGGATAGGTAGTGGTTCGCCGTCGAATAACACAGCCCATGTCGATAATGATAGACATGAAACAATGAACGGCCCCGCAAAGGGGCGGCGGGTGGGATAGCCCCCCACGTGTGCCGAACCGAGATGTAAATGTTAAAAAGAAAACAAGGTTAATTCCTCTTCAATCTCGGCAAAAAGACGGAAAAGAGCAGTTCCTGAATCTCGTTGGGGGGTGATGCCAGGGCCCATGGTGAATTTCGTGTGATTCGAGTCTTCCATGCTTCACCACCCCGGTCATCAACCGATAGCCCGCCCGATATCGTCCCTGAACAACGGCCTCGGCGACAGGCCCCCGATGAGGGCGGTGTCGTCGCTGAAGGACAGCCTCGGAGGGACAGAGCTGGACGAGTAGACGCGGGAGTGCTGCTGGCCGGACCCAGATGAAGACGAGTGGTGATGCTGCAGCTGGGAATGGCCGCCGCCGCCGCCGCGGTACGCGTCGTTGGACACCCTCGGCGAGGTCGGCATCTGCAGCTCCATCTCCGAGCCGGCGTACATGAAGCTCCGCAGGCTGGTCGCGCTGCTCCTCGAGCTCCGCGTGCGGTGGTGGTGCGACGAGGCGCCCCGGGCCGGCGGCGGCTTGGAGAGGCGCGAGGTCTGGCGCCTGGGAGAGGGCAGGAACGAAGGGTCGCCGGGGACCGTCTCGTCGGTCAGCCCCGCGCGAGCGTTGGGGGCGCGGGCCTGCGCCGGCGTGCCGGGGAGGTCCTTGTCGAGGCTGACTCGGGCGCCGTACCTGGAGGTGCGTGTCGTCGGCGCGGCGGTGAATGACCTAGGCGATGCTAGTTCCTCGGACTGCCTCTGATAGACGATGACGCTGGGCGGGCTCTTGATTGTCGAGCCGCTCGAGGGCTGCTTGGCGTGACTTCTCCTGCCGGATGTCGTGTATCTGTCCTGCCTGTAGACTCCGGCTGCCGCCGCTACTGCCGCCTCCTTCTCGGCCGATTTGTTGACTTTCCAGGTCTCGATCTCGTCGTCGTCGATGGGCGAGATGCCGCGGTTGAAGAACGGCAGTCGCCGCCTCTTGTACCTGCAGCATAGTAGTATCGCTCCGACGACCAGGAGGACCCCCACTACAGAGAGCACCGTGCTGAGCGTGATGATGAGTGTGCGATTGCTGCCCAGTCCTGACTGGTCCTCGGACGCAGGTGCAGGTGTCTGCGCTGACGACTGTGCTGGAGGCATGGTGAATGGAGTTGAAGTAGAAACCAGGCTAGATGAAGGTGCCTGGGGAGTAGGAGTAGAGCTCTGGCGAGAGGGCGAGTAGAGCTCGGTTGAATCTGTCCGGGACAAAGCTGTAGTCGATGCCTCCGGGATCTGAACGATAGTAGAGAAGGGTGTAGCCAGTGGCGCGGAAAGTGACTGGCTAGTTAAAAGCGGCCACCCGTCTGCTGCTGAAGACCACTGCGAGCCAGGTCCTCTGCACCAGGGAGGTAAACCGTGTCTACCACCAGGCCCAACTGCGTCTGTGGGACATGGGCGGTCAGAAAATGGAACTGCAGAGGTATCAATTAGCGGTCTGTTCGTCGATATCGCGCCTGATGGCTTGAAGATGGACAGAGGACGTGAGTGCCCCTTCAAGGACTTCCACGGTGAGCTCCAGTTGGAAGAATGGCAGGGAGCCGACACAATGCCGCTGACCAGCGCAGCTTGGCTCGGGTGCAGCAAAGCAGACGAGCTCCACACCATTCTTGCACTAGATGCTACCCATGGTCGAGCCATATAGACGGCATGGGGTCCAAGAATGAGTGCTGAGGTTAAGGGCAAAAGCAAAAGCTCTTAGACGAACATGGTAGGTCTGTCGGAGGAGACATGTCTGTCACGGGAGCCGGTGGCTGAACACCTTCATAACGAGGACAAAGGACAGGACTGAGGACGGAGGAAGCCAAAAATAGCAGAATACACGCACAGTTTAGAAGGACTCATGAGCGGGCGAGGAATTGGGTCCAGCTCAAGAGAAGCGACAAAGAGAGTGCGGGTTGAGGCGTGAAGCCTTGCCGTGGAGGAGGATGCTGGACGGCGTTCGAGACAAAGGTCGGAGGGAGGGGAGATATAGGTTGTGAGGTGCAAGCACCAACTGTTTTGCCGTGCCTCCGGGTTGCAGAGGTGGCAGAGAGACCGCACAAAGGAGCAAACGGCAGTGACGCCTACCCTCGCTACTTTCTCGCACCCAAGGTTAAGAATATCGACGGAAAGGATGGGGTAGGCGGCAGATATAAACCGTGCGCGCGCACGCAGCATCAACCACCCCCCGGTCGAGAGCGGCATGCGAGGAACTTCCTACACACCGCAAAGCCAAGCTTATGGGCGGGTCCCTCCACATGGTGGGGGCCTTGAACGACGCAGCCAGTGTGTCCGTGTGTTTGCATCTGTGTGAGTGGACAATGTGTATGTTTAGATTGTGCACCAGTGTCTCAATGGAGACGAGGTACAGAGGTGGTTGATGGTGGTGTAGGTGGTGGGGAATCGAGGCAAGAAGGTACAAGTAGCTCTACCTAGCAGACACAGAAAGAGAGAGAGAGAGAGAGAGAGCTTGATGTGGAATCCAATGAAGTCAAGACTCCCCTCTCTGACCGACTGTGAGGCTGGTCGTACCTTGTGGTTACCCGGGCTGGGTTTGTGACAAAGGAAAGGGTTAAAAACCCCCCGTTCTTGACAGATGACAGGGCTTCCTCGATACCTGACATCGAAGGCTACGCTGGCAGTCAGCGTACCTCTCCATTTGATTACCCAGAGCAGGCACGAGTGAAGATCTAGCTTGGCTGTTGAGGTGTCAATGTGAGGAAGCAGAGCTTCTGTTGCAACGGTGGTTGGACGGACGGGCGATCGCCCCAGTATGATCGGACATGAATGCAAGCAACCAGGCAGGCCAAGGACAGGGTCTGCTCAGGAGACGAGAGCGGCCCCACAGACGGATGACCAAAGAGGGCGACAAGCTTGATCTGGCGGATAACGAGCATGGCTTGCATGGGTAGCTTAGCCTTTCCCCTGTCGGGAACCAAGGGATGGCGTGGAGGGGCTGGGTCAGGGGCAAGCGAAGAGCGGGATCCACCACCGCAAGGATGGATGGTCGAGGTAAAGGTAAGCCCGGCAAAAAAGAGGCCGCAACGGGCTGGCCAATCCTCGACGGCAGACCTCCACACACTTTTGTTTGAGGACCGAGCTCCAAGCTGCCAGGCACAGAAGGTGAGTGGTGCCAGCTGTCTCAGTCTCAAGTCAGGCACTCGTCACTGCATGCACGGTGACAGTGAGGCACATGTACGTCTTGATTACGGGCGGGCGAGGCCAGCACTTCAGGCGCTCATGTAGGTACATGGAGCCCTTTTCCGGCATGAAGGATCAGAGCACGCCACAAGCTCTGCAGCAGGCGAATGAGACTTCCATCCGTGGCCTGGCTGTGGCAGAGAGGGACGAGCTTGCACCAGGCTGGGCAGCAAGCTACCCATGCCCGAAGGGGAGCAGCAGTGCGAGCCCTTTTGATGGGATCGATCTGAGAGAGACAGTCGTGGTTTGGTGAGCGACAAGGAGATAGTTGGCCGGGCTGACCAGACGCAGACCTGCACTGCACCATCTAACTACCGCAAAGGTTAGCCAACATGACGCTGACCAGGATGCCATCCCACACACACCTCTGCTAGGTAGGAGGGCCGACCCCATACATACCGAAGGTGAGGTGAGAGCAGGCCCCCAATGACCGTTCCCTGCTGCTTGAGTGGTCGCCCATGCACTCCTTCTGCTGCGCTGAATCAAGGCTGGTATGTGAATGTATCAAAGTGCGGCACCAAGTGGGCTATCCGACTGGAGCCTTTCGCATGGCTCAAACGGACGTGGACATGCGGTCAGCAAGAGCTCTGGAATGTATTGGCCTCGGTGCGAAACGGCGAAGGCGAAGCCCTTGCATGCCGGCGGGCTGGTCTTACATCATGGCAGAGGGGTCCGAGACCTACGCCATGCGGACGGCCAGGCCAGCCGCACGCCCAGCATTCCAGAGACGATGCAGCCAGCAGCAGCCAACATCACCACCGCCGCAGTGCAGCTGGGCTGCGTTTCGCTTCAGGCGGGTGGAAACTGGACAGGAAAGAGGTGGGGGGGAGAGCAAAGAGGGGAAGATGGTGTGCTGCGAGGCTGTTTCCGTGATAGTGGGAGGAAGATGGAGGGGGGCCCGCCGCGCACTATCGACCACCTCTTTTACAGGTACTTACCTAGGAGTGGTTCGTCAAATTTGTCTGCGACCCCAAGGTAGCCTTCATCCACCATTTACCCATAGCAAGCCTGTGTAAGCCGCCTCTCTGTCTTCCGAATCCGGGTCCTACGAGATTGCACTGGGGCCACGTTCCCCCATGTCATCCGATACAGAGAGAACCTGGAGATATGGCCCTTTATTGAAGCATATTGAATAGTCTAGATCACATCCATCATCACATTGCCTACTCACGAGCTAAGGACCGCACGGGAGCCGAGACAAACACATGCCACCGCTTCGGCTGTCACCACCACCAGCCTTGCTCTGGCACCAAGCATGAGGTGCGATGGCGGGACAAAAGCCGCAGTGGACAAGATCGAGGCCGTGGCTCCTCCGTCGTAGGTACGTGTGTGTGTTTGAGAAGTCCCGACAAGTGGTGCAGGCTGGAATGCAAAGACAAACGGCGTCGGGGCCACTAAGGTACGCAGCAAAGGCGCAACAGGCTGAGCCACCAGGATAAGAAGCTATTGGAACCAGGAGAACTAGTCGTGGACGCCAGCCATTGGTGGCCGCCAGATGACGCCGTGGCACACTCTCTGTGCATGCCGTGTCATGTCATTGATCTCACCTTAGATCGACCTCGAAGCTGCCATCGTAGCGTGAAGAGATACCAAGCGGAATCGCTATCATGGCCTTCAACTACTCCGTATATGGCACAGAGCTTGCCCTCCTCCCACAGGAAATCCGTACATCTGCTCCAACTAGGTACAGGTAGTTAGTACAAGTAGCTTCGGGTGACAAAAGAGTGCAGTCCCTCATGCAAGGTACAGGCATCCTCTCTTTCGCAGCACGGCCAGCGAATCACGGGGCGGGGATCGAGGTGAACCAGGTAAAGTAAACCTGCCCTCCACTTCTTGCGACATGTTTTAACCCAGGAAAATTTCCGAATACAACCGGCCAATTTGTGGCGTTCTGTCACATGGTGCACTCGCTGTAACCCCAACTGGACGATAGCTTCAAAACGTGCTCGCCGGGGTTTGTCTTGCTCTCGTACTCCCACTCTACAAGTAGTCAAGGGACCTGGCTGGACTGGGGAGCTCAAGGCTAATGTCCTAGTCTAATCGTCGACGCTTGGCTCGCATCTCATCTCTTATCAACCAAAGTTCGGCAACCCGGATCTTGACGATGATGAAGTCTGCGTTGCAGTGGAGGGTCGATTACAAGTAAAGCCATGCTCCAGGCCATGTAACGGTGCCAGCGCAAGCCAGAGGGACCAGAGGCATCCGATGAGTACCTACATCTCGCCCGTTATCACATCACCTGTCCCGGCGGAGTGGCGGAGAGGGAACAATCAGATCAGGTCTCGAGGGTCTTGCACCTTGGCAGGGCCACTCTCGTTTGCTATCAGCCATCCCTTGCCTGAAATCTAGCGGCACCGCTAACCAGCGGAGCCAGCGAGGTCTTGACCTTATCCAGCCAGAGGTGCAGGACCAGGCCCAGCCTCTTATTAGCGACAGGTCCGGGGTATGGGAGGTCCCGCAGCTAAAAAAGAGTCTTTTGCGGCTTTCAGGAACCGTTCGTCTAACTAGTACCTACCTACTGATCAGCCAATGATCTCCAGGGGCAGAGACCGAGCAACCGATCATGCTTTGACTTGGTGATGATCGCGAACCAAGCTTCTGGACTTGTGTGCTTTTGGTGCATGCTGCTGTTTCTTGACGCGGAAGCAAACACGGCAATCTCGAGTCCAGTGCGAGTGCATCTTGATCTACCATCTCCGCTTTACGTACTTCATACGAATTAGACACTGCCCCAAGCCGCCTGCATCTCAACAATGATCGACATGTCTCTCGGATGACACCCTGCGAGTTGCGTTTGCGGATGGCGGGGCATGATCCTTGGCGTATGTCCTTTTTCCCCCTCTTCCTGAAGCAAGCACGCAAGAGGAGAGGGAAAAAGCAAGTTTCCAAAACAGACCGACCTGTCAAACCCTTGAAATTGT